GTGTCCTCTGCTGCAAATCCAGAGTCATCCGCACATTGAAGTGCAGTGAGCAATGCTTGACCTGCCTCAGCTTCTGTCGGCTGTCTTTGATTGCCTATGTATGCCAGACTGTTGTTCAGCAGATTACTCAAGTTTGGCGGCAGTGGATGGCTTTGGAGTTCTGACCGCTCAACTCCACCTGTCGATGCCCCACTGAACAGCAGCGAATCTCCCCTGGAGGCCAATATCCCTCCTTCCGTTCTGGACTTTCGGTACAACCATAAGCCACTGTCTCCTTTGATGCTCCTCGAATTGATAATGGTCTTCCACACCATGGCTTGAACTTCAGCCAGCCCCGCTGCTTGTGCCCCATTGTCGCCCTCGCTCAATTCGTGCCAACTGTACCAATGCGAAACGAAATCATCCAAGTCATCCTCTCCTTCATCCCTCAGCACCCGCACGAGGTCTCTCACCTCTTCGCGGACTTCGCCAATCTTGGTGATTGGGATTTCGTGAAGCACTGCGCCCTGCTTCGAGTCGTTGAGGAACACGCCCTTTGGGAATGGAAGAGCTGGCACGTGGGCATCCACCCGGGCACGCCTGCCGTCCACAAGGAGCAAGAAGTCCCCGCAGCCCAATGCACGATCTGGGGCGGCGGCATCAACGGCCATGAAGCATTTTTTGTCTCCCTTGAGGGAGCTGTGCCTTAACAGAATCCGGTTGTTCAAGCATTGAGCGTCCAAGCACCGGCAGAAGTACCTTGTGCTTTGGTAATGCAAGCGCTTGTCTTTCCCGAACTCCCCATGCGCCCTGATGCCGTCAGACTGAAAAAAGTTCGGTCTCAGAGTTATCAGGTCGTGCAGCACCGGCACGTCATGATTTCCCCCGAGGCCAATAACGTCCGACCAGTTCACTGAGCCTTGGGAGCCGCTGGAAATGCCAATCCCTAGTATTATGCAAGCAAAGTAGCCAGTTCGCAGTGCCGTCGCCAGCTGACCGCCGAGGATGGGATACCTTCCGTCCACGCTGTTGGTTGCGAGGCATGTCGCCGACGTCGACAGCAACATGGTCACGATCGACCTCAGGGCACCAGGTAGAGACGTGAATCTCCAAGACCATGCCTGCGTTGTGTTTCTCTGGGTGTGGGACTGAGGCGACGTCTGGTCATTGCATTTTACGCCATCCGTGGCTCCCACTCTGTGCATGTCTCAAGCCTGAGAGGGCCTTTGTGAGCCCGAAAACCGCCGGTAGCTCAATTGAAAGCCGGATCTTCAGCGACTGCCACACCAGGGAAATGGTTTTTCTCAAGCGAACAACATCGTGTGCCTGCGCATGACGACTGCTGATCGTCGTGCAGCAGCGCGACTGACATCTGCATTCGTGATCATGCTGATCGTCCACAATTTATGGACTGCATCGATGCAGGTATCTGCTTGAACCTGCTAATGTGCTGAATCAATCAAGAGATATTGCCTGTGAGCTCGAGAAAGTAGCTATAGCGTATTGCGCCTCAGAAAGCAATGTCACCGTTAAATTCATTGAACCCCAAGATACCGCAACAGAACAGGCATCCAGCACTTGTCGCTGATATCACATTAGGAGAACACAGGGACATCTGCTCTTGTCACTCGCGGGGGCATGGGTACTGAGACCACAAAGGATAGTGGCCACGCGCGCGTTTGTTTTTCCAATGAGTTATCTTGTATGCCAAGGCGTTCGACATTGCTTCTTTGATGGAATGGTCTGAAGTCGCGTGCGCAATCCAGCTTCGGGCGCCAAGGGCAGCGAAGGCATCGTGACCGATCCACTTTAGACCCAGTACGGTTGCAGCACATTTCAGTCATTGACCAGCAACAACAGCTTGTGACCAGCGCTTCCGTGGTTCGCTGGTCCAAGCGACGCCACACAGCCAGATGATTGATACTCAGGATCGCCACAAATGTTTCTGAGTAATGCGCAAATGCCCACGGCAATGCATGAGGCAAGGCGGGGCCACAGACTGGCCGCAGCTGCCCGGAAAATGAAAACCGACCGGCCAAACCAAGCCTTGGGGGCAATGATTGCGCCGCGGGTTCCCGTGCCCTGTGAACGCGACGGTACAAGCGGATGGAGCAAAACCCACACAGCAGTCCACAGCGGCATCGCTGCGACCGGTCGCTCGTGGATGACCAGCCCCAGAAAGGAATGCCAAGCCCGGACATGGCACAGTATCCTTTGCACGGTCGATGCCATCACGGGCGGCCCTCAGCACACTCATCCGATCCACAGTCACAGCGACCGGGCAGGGCCAACATCCCAGAGCAACATTGCTCACAGCCAATGAGTGTGGGGCCATATGGCGCCCAGCAACTGATGCGCAGGTGCAAACAACGCGGCACCGCCCCTCCACACCGAGTGGGGCAGTACCTTGGGAGAGAGTGATCCAATAGGGGGCGAGCCAGCTTTGGCCGCAGGCGCCACGGAGGCTCGGAGCAGGCGGTGCGCCTTCGACGTCTGAATGACAGCGAAAGTTAAAGACACGACTCCCGGCAGGAAATGGGCGCGAGGACCTTCGCCCGGGTTGGGCACCGATCGCCCTGCCGCCGAAGATAGAATTCCGTCATAGAACAGGGTCTAACAGCTGCAGCACCGACACTGGGCGGCGCCAACAGCCACATCACAATCGCCTATTCACCTGTGCCTCCGCCTTGCAATGGGCGTTCGCCGCCGGTCCACGCACGCAGGAAGCGGGCGTCCGCGCCGGTGCAACGGTCGAGGCTGGGGTCCCTTTCGGTGGCAGTACTATCCTGGGAGCCTGATCGGGCAACGCGCACTTGCAAGCCGTGCTGGGCAACGGCTCGTCCTGCCTCCCTGCGGAGCCCGATCCGCCACTGGCGAGGCCCGGCGGCGCGTAGTCGGAGGAGCAGGTTGCCGTCCGCGCCCAAGCTTCCCACAAGGGGCAATCCTGCTGACGCCCCGGCTTTGTGATGGGGCAGATGGCGGCAGCGGTTGCCTTGTGGTTGTTGACGTGATAGAGCCACGAGTGGCTAACATGTCCAAGGAAGCACAACGGCGCGGCCCTTGGACTTCATCCGGAGCTGACAGGCGACGGGCTGTCACAGTTCAGCCCCCTTGATGGAAGGCTCGCGGCACTGGCAGGAGGACATGTCATGCAACGAAAATGGGACGCGGCAGCGGTGGCGGTACTCATTTGAAATGAGTCATTTCCCTGCCGCGAATATGATGTGGATTTCTCCGTGTGCAGCCGCACCCGGCAAACGACCAGAGCAAGAGCCAGCGTCCGCAGAAGACGACGACTCGGATTTCATCCGACCCGCATCAATGTCGTTCATACCCGACCCACTCCCAACCCGATGAAGGCGGCCCCATGCCAGACGGGTTGTGTGCCAGCGGAATATCCTGGGGCTGCCAGGCGAAGGGGACAACTACTTATTGTCCCCGTCTGGGGATTCTGGGCAATTTCCTCTCGTCGTCAAACCTCATGGGGTTGGCGCCTTTCCTTTACAAGCCAGACGTTTGTGGACGTGAGCAAAAGCAGTCGAGTCCAAGTCGCTTCGAAGTAGATGCAGCAAAGGTTTGTGTTGCACACAATAAAGGAGAACGTTGCATCCCCGGATATTCTTGTACACAGGAGCACATGATGCTTCGCAGCATCACCGTTATAAAGGATTTGATTTCGGAATGCAGAGTTTCTACACAATGATCTCCAGCCATTTCCTACATTCGTCATTCGCATCACCGCTCGTGCATAGGGCCTCCATTTGGACAATGCAACGGTGTGGATGTCTCCTTAACACTGAACGTTCACTAACGTTAACGCAACGTTCTGTTTCCTTCACATTACTTCGCGGGCTGTGAACGCAAATAATAGAGTTTGGGCCAGACAAAGCCTTTGCAACCATACCGGACGTAATACCAGCTCCTATTTCTCCTCCTGCAATCTATCGAGCCGTCCGTCCATCCGCTCATTCACTCAACGATCGATCAACCGATCAAATAGTTAGTTAGTCAGTCAGCTAATCACTTAGTCAATCAGTTGTTCAGTCAGTCCCTCCATCCCTCAAACAAACAATGATCAGTCCATCGAACAATCAGCCACCCATTAAATCAATCATTAGATGGAACAATCAATCGATTGATGTGTCGATCAACGCTTCGATTGTACATGCACGTGTCCTCTGTTGCCGTTCAGGCCACGAAGGTGGAGGGAAAGCAGCGCAAGAGGCTGCTGCAGAATGAACCCCAAGCATGCACCCAACATCACGTGCGTGAACACTTCCTCGTCCAGTTCGCCGTGTTTTCGCCAGCAAACGAGGCATTCACCAATGCGCATATTTGCAACGGGACGGAAATAGAATGGCCGTTGTATCTGCGTGGTGACAACGCTGTTACCGCGAACAACCACTTGAACGAAAAGAGAGAAAAAAGAACACTTCCCGTACCAACTCCCCAGACGAAGTATTGAGGAAACCGCACGGCTGCCCCAGAGAAATAAAGTACAGGTTCCTTTCTCTCAGTAGCACAGGTGCATCAAGGAGAGGTTTATCACAGGATGGCCCGGGAGCTTCCCGCAACACATCCACCGAAAAGGTGCATGGCGTCCCAGAATAGAGCAAGGGAAGAAAGACATGAGGAGGAGCTGCCGGCCCAGACGAGCGGAGCAGCGAAAATATTAGTCTTTGCCGTGAGGATCCCTTCTTCTTGAGTTAACAAGGGCAACGTGGGTCAGTGAGTCAGTGGTGCAGGGTTTTAGGGTGTCGAAACAAGAAGGGATCTTCACGGAAAAGACAGAGCGACTAATTTCATGGCAGCGGAGCATACTTGACAAACCGATCCTTTCATTGAGCGGTACACACAGTACTACGTCATACTGTGCGCTCCGCATATCGTACGGCACCGTATTGCTGTTCTGACGCTCCGCCGCCAGATTCGTCCCTCCCGCGTTCTCCCTGCGCTGCAAAAAGCCACACCATGCACCCAGCCCCGCCCTTCGCGCCATCTGCCTGCTCCGTCCCAGCGCCATGGGCGTGGAGGCGACGGTGCAGGCCCTGCTGGCGGCCCTCAGGGCCACGAAGGACACTGCAGCCTGCGTCGAAGGTACCCATCAGCGACGGCGGCCAGTGGCTTGGCAGGCCCCCTTGCGCACTCGCGCGTCGACTGGCCGCGACACGTTCGGTTTTGAACGTTTGTTTCTGTGCGGTTCTCTCTTCATGCGAGCTGGATTGCTTGTGGCGTTGAGCGGATGTGGCCGAGTTGCAGATTTGTCTGCGCACCCAAAATCGATTCAAATGTTTGAGGCCCTGCGCGACGAACCCGAGCACCCGCGCGACGACCCATGTCTGGCCGTGTTTTCCCGCCCAATTGGAACTTGCGGCGCCCAGCGGCGCTTCCCGCGCCGGCGCTACTGCCCCTTGCAGAGCGTCCCGCTTTCCCTGGACTCGCATTCGCCAAATGCCAAACCAAACGCGGGCGTTCCCAAACAATCCACAATAGCCGGCTCACTAGCAAATGCGCCGTCGAGATTCAGGCAGGATTTCGCACTGCGCAGCGATCCCTGTCTTGCCGAGCCACACGGGGCCACACGGGGCCACACGGGGCATTTGCCGCGCAAACTCTCGCCCACCATCCCCTTGAAGGAGCCAATTCAATGCTCCGACCCTGTTCGGCCAATGTGCAATCAGAGGATTGACGCGAGGCGCGCCGCCGCCGCGCGCAGGCCTCCGCCAGCTGCGTCGCTTCTCTCAGGAGGCCCGCCACAGGGGCGTGGTGGTGGAATACTTCAGGCAGTCGCCGGGGGCCTCCGAGCTGCTGGCTATCTATGACGAGCAGGCGCACGCGAAGAACCACGTGGTCGTGGGGGAGCTGTGCCTCCTGCTGCGGCGCATGTTCGACATGACCTTCGAGGGACAGGCAGATCAGTGGGGCACCAAAGGCATTCAGCACCTGCTGGATGACTTGGCGTATGCGTTGATGGACAAGCGAATGAAGGCAGGAATGGGACTCTTGTTTTGCTTTGCGCTTTTGCTATGTGTTTTGCTGTTTTGGGGAGTAGTGTTTTTTGTTTAATTGATGCTGGTGCTGGTGCTTTGTTTGTGTGCGTTGTTGCCTGGTTGCTGTTGGTGCTTGGAGGGCGAACAGTTTGAAGTGTGTGCAACATTCCAGTGCGAGCTGTTTTTGAAGATAGGCGCCCTGCAAGATGCCCAAAATCGGCTGGATGCAATGCACTATTACTATAATTGAGACAGGCCTAGCATGGGGCGCCGTACACTACGATAGGAATTGCAGGTTCAAAGGCAACCACTGAACCTCGTGGCTGCCATTAGACTGCTGATTGACTGTGGTGCTTGCTGATGAGGTGCTCTTCCAGAGCAACATGTGCTCAAAAGCTGGTCAAACTCTTCCCACACTACCACACAATCTTGTATTGTATGGGGTAACAAGGGGGAGAACAGTGGGACCCTGCACTACGTTGGCTATGGTCAGCATTTCTGCATCCTAATCTTTTGTGTATTCCTCTCATTCCCACACTCCACCCGACATTGCAAGAGGTTGTTCATTCCAACACTGCTGTGGACAGGACACAGTCTCTCAGCGAATGGTAATGACACAGCAGTGCATTTTATACAGAGCAAGGACGCCATTGCAGTTGCGCTACACAGACATGCATCAGCATTGAGAATCATGTGGATGCTACAAATGCCTCTGGATTGCAAACTGTGCCCTGCTCAACCAGAGCACCTTTGTCAACCAACCACAGCAACCTCCGTTAGCAACCTTCACTAACTGGGCTTCCTTTCTTTCTGGATCCTGTCACTGGACATCGCCCATTTCTGAATGTGTACACCTTGTTTATAACTTGTTTTCAAATCCATTCCATAGAGGTTTGCCAATCTATATGATGGCCAAAGAGTGTGATTTTCTGTCGCATCTGTTTCTGTGCTTCTGTCAATCGTTGGTTTGGATGTGCATACATAGGATATAGATATCTGTTTGATACAGTTTGTTGCTGAAAGTGTGGAATTGTTTGTGTTTGGCGACGTGGAGTTTGAGGCACATCACTGCAAATCTGCAGGCGTTGTGCACATACATAGCAGGCGATTCTCTTGCCCGTGCAAATGCTGCATGGCTTCTGCTTGGTGCCCTTGCGCGGAGAGGGCCTGGGGCTACAGCAGCACTGCTGGACACATTTGAACTTCCTTCCAAGGCCGTAGGGTCTGTGTCCAAATCCCAATGGTGGGCCACCAGCATCTCCAAGCATATCTTTGTGTGAAGGGCAGCTTGTTCCTGTGTATCCCATCTCCATTGCATCACATACAGATGCACATGGTCAGCTTTGTTCCATTGGTGCATCTTTATTCCTTTGTTACTCTTGGTTTTATATATCACGCTTGAGAGTGCCCACTGTCCTCCTGTGGTTCTTGCCATCATCTCCAGTGATGCTAGCAAACTTCTGTGCTTGATGCTGATGCCTGGTGGAACAGTGAAGAAGGCAATGCCCACTCCTCTGTCCGGTTGACCAAGGAAAGGAAGGTGGATGTAGACGACCTGAAGAGGATGCCAAGCAGGGATTGCTTCATCGACTTTGGTAGGCGATCCTCACTGATGTTCCCCATATCTCAACGATATGTTCTTATGCGGTCTTAGGATCCATCGTCTAGCAAGTCAACTGCACTGGCTTCAACAATCTGGCAGCATCAGCCATATAGACAAAGCAACACCCTTGCCCAAATGGGAAGCCATTTGCTTCCAATCAGGAAGTGAAACACGATTTTTTGATGCTGTGGCGTTGATATGTACTCTGATGGGGCATACTTTCACTGCATTATGCCTTGAGTGGAATTGTAAGCATAGTGATGAATCACCATTGCATCTTCATTGGGAGCTCCTCTTATTAATGCATGAATAATCCTATCACGAGCGACGCAAGGCTGTGCTGCTTGACAAAGGCAAGGCGATATAGAAAGCATTCACCCCATTGTGCTTCAGAAAAATTTTGCTGGGTTTGCAAAGAGCACAGGAGGTCTCCTGGCAGGTGCAAGCCTTGTCTTCACCATAGCATGTGAAATAGGCTGAGCCATGTATCTCAGAAATGTTGACTGCAGCAGGGTACATCGTCCTACTTTGATGGCCTCAAGATTGCATCCTGCCATATCCATTCGTTCTTGACTGGTAGTTGTGGATGTATGCGCCTTGTGAATTCGGGCAGCCTGTGATTGCATTGTTTATCTCCCAACAGACATTCACTTGCATTGAGTATCTTTGGCCAACCCAGGAATGCATGTACTCACTTTGGCCAATCTGCACTTGCATTAACTATCAGTGGCTGCTCCAGCAGCGTATGTACTATGACGAATTATTCCTTGCTTTGATTGTGCCTGAGCAACCGTTGATGGCACTGAGGAGTTGCATGCTTGCCCGCTGGGCAGTGTTGTCTGTGCTGCAGTACTGCCACCCCAGCTTCATCCCTTCCATCCTTGGTACGAGGTCACTGAAGGCTGGCCTGCTGTTCAACCTCTCTCAGGATGACTCAGCAACAGCTGTGAAGATTCTGCAGGGTCTGGAGCAATGTCTCCCCCGTCTGCCATCCACATCAGCCCTGACTTGCAAATTCGAGCTGTTTGAAGGTCGTGTTCTGGAACAGGTCAGCCCTGGAATGTCTTTCTGTGTATTGGGTGTGCCGTTGGCATCGTTGTGCAGGCACAAGGACTCAGCACAAATGCATATGACTCGCAGTACCCAAGTCAAATTCAATAGTGCATTGCTTTTGGTACTCCATGTAATGATACCATTCAATTAACAGTGACTTATTGCATTGCGTCTGCACATGCACATCTGCTGGGTGAAGAACTCCCTCTTTGGACTCTTGTATGGCAATCATGTTTACCATGTACAGCTTTCAGCAGCTTGCAAGTATAGAGTGTTGGCAAAATAGCCAAACAACTTGATACAGTTATTGAGCAACCCTTGTTTCATTGCAAATTTATATTGTCTGGAGCATTCGGAAATATTATCTTCATTTGACCAGGTGTTGAACTGCCTTGAAATGTCATTCTCCCAACTATCTTCCCTGTCCATTTGCTGTGCAGCTCGCCGTGATGTCTGCATTTCCATTAGGAAGGGTGGAACAGTTGGCAGGGCAAATGGCGCACAACTTGCTTTCACAAGTGTGCACCGAACCAAGCTATGGTTTACTGCCTCCCCGGGACTGCAGCATTGAGGAGATATCAGCCCAACGTGGATTCAGGCAAGACCCCTGTTACTGTCAATGTAAAACCTCATGCCACACATGGATCCACAGGAGAGCCAATTGCTTGTTGCTTCCGGTGTGCCCTTTTTGTGCAATGTGTTAATCCTGTTGAATGGATCGCATAATTCGATGCACAACTGGACTTGGACACAGCACTATGCTACTTGATGATTTCTGAGTTCAGTGGTGACTTGAACTTAAAATCAGTCTTCCGAGCCATGGGCAGCATCAACCTACCAACAGTTTGCCTAAATCTGTTGAAATTTGATGAACCAGCGCCTACTCAGCTGTAGGCCAGCGAAGGGTGCTTTATCTGCATCCTTGGGGCTCAACTATTTACAATGTATGGGTAGATTAGTTTCTATTATGTCCATTTGTAATTGTTGACAAATAGTTATGACGTATTTATTGAATGTGCAGGACTCAACATCACTGAATTTGCACCATGTGACTGCAGGCGTCTGCTGTCCTTCCTCCCAAAACTGCATCCCTTCAGGTGCCTGTCAGATGTGGAGCTCATCGTAAAGATTGGTAAAGCATGCCCCAGGTTGGCTGCAGAGTACATCGGTATGATGGTCTTCAAGCCTGAGGAGCACAAATCACCTGAATGGTTCCCAGCTATGGGCCTGACAGTGCAGCTAATTCCTCTGTGTTCGGCCTGTCGGAATGAGCTTGTTGCAAAACAAGCTAGATCCAGGGTGGAATGTCAAGATCCTGATGGATTGCTCGACAGGCTGATTGCATGGACGGTGCCACCAAGATTAGATAAGGTAGCAACACAGATAAAGTGATGATATAAGGTTGTGTCCATTTTTGTGTGTTTTGTGCCTTTCTTCTGTGTGATTTGCAGGTAAATCTATTGTGTGTATTGTTGCATGTGTAAAACTGTTCAGGAATTGTCTGTGGGTTGGCACACTCTGCATGTGATGCCATTGTGACAGATGAGAGTACGTTGTGCCTTTCGCCCCATGAACGACGATGGATACAATAGTATCTGTAATACAGTTGTTCCACCATGTTCGTTTCTCTGCTTGTACTCTGGTTTGCACTGTCATGAATTTTTTCAAGTGGAACAGCCAGGCCTGCATGGCTGATCCCTTCCATACTGGCGCCAGGACAAATGTTCCAGTTGCAGATGCTGCCAAAGCTGGCAAAGGCATTGCAAGGTGGCCATGATAGGATTTGGGATAGGATTTTGCATCAGTGTGCTTGTGTTGTGAATTACGACAAACGTGTCATTTGTTTTCCACTGCCTGTGTTGTTGCTGACTGCTCCTCCATTATGGGCAGTGATATAGAGAATAGAAAATCGACACGAAAGTTGGCACTGCAATCATTTGCATGAACGAACCTGGACAGTGCACTTTGGGTTTTTCTATTTCCTGCATTCTGTTGTTGCAGTACAAGGAATGTGCAAAATGTTGTGACGAATTAGCCGATGGCGAATAACTTTACAATGGTAGAATGTGGAAACAACATTGCTGACAAGAGAATCATAGAACAATAATGCCAGCATCAGAAGAATGAATGTGCTTGTGGTGCACAATGTATGATGTAGGCGTGCCTGGCCAAGCTCATACAAGTAGATGATCCCCTTGTAGTGTACACAGTTGCGGGCACAGTCCTCCAGTTCCTTCAGGCCCTTGGACCCATCTTGGATGACCCTGGGGTTGGTGATGCGACCAAGGCCAGGCTGCGGCCCCGACTGGCTGCCCTTGTGCCTGGCACCCAGCTGCTCCTAGGTGCACATGGGGCGCTGGTAGGGAAGGTCAGCCAGGCAGGTGATACTGCCTTCAGTTGCAGGTCTTTTGCATGTTTTCTTTATTCAACTTTTCCCCACAGTTTTTTAAAATTTTTGGTTTGTCCCTTTTCTTGTCTTTTCTGCATTTGGGCATTTCTTCTGCTTCTCTATCTTGTTGTTAGGTTTCTCTTGAATATGCATTTTGTTGAATTTCAGGCAAAAACACAGCCGTGCACAGGCTGCAAACCTTCGTCCCCTGCTAGGTGCCAGGGCAGTGATCTGTCATATTGTTAGAAAAATGAGCTGGAAGAAGATTTGCACCGGGTTGGCTTTCATCCAGAGCCACGAAATGCTGTATGGCAGTTATGCCTCTGTAGTGGCACCCACAGTGCAGCAAAGACAGTTCGCCTGTCCTTCATTGTCTATATCCTGACTGAAGGCGATTGATTGTCATGGCTGAACATGCCATGCTTTCACGCTATTGTGCTGAGATATATCAAGCCCAACAACTGTGGCTGCAGCTGCTATACTGGCACTTGACAGTGGATGTGGTGGGACTGTAGCACGCTTGCACAAACGTGCATTTGGAGCAGCTGTGGTGGCCGGGTGCATCGGTGGCTTTTGCAGTATGGTGGACGAAAAGAGGACCTGTTAATGTTTTGTGTGGGCCTTCTTTGCTCAGATTCAGTTCTGTGTGTGCACAGCAGGTAGGTCACTACAGGAAGGCTCCGGAGAGGCTGATGGCCGTGTGAGGGCACTTGCAGCGATTCTTGCCCTTTTTGAGGCCTATTGGAAATGGCTGCCAGCAGCAATGAGGGACATGGAATTCGGTGAAACCTCTTTGTGGCCTGGGGTAAGTGCATTGACGACAGCAGCTGATGTTCGACTGGGTTCCCAGCTTCATTAGCTCACAGCATGCTGGATTTCGGCCTAATTAAGAGTTATTGAACATTGATCATGTTTATAAATATTCCTGATCATCAACCTACACGCCCTTGGGCCTGCTTGTTCAGCTCCTTGCAAAAACTAAGCAAAGAGCTACAAAAGTGAAGCATGTGAGTGTACTATGGGGGCTTGTGTGTTTGACATCCCACCATTATTGAATTGGCAGGGGTCACAGGCTGTGTACTTTCCAAATAACCACAGTGAGTTTTGAATATAATCTGGGGACGTTTTTGCCGCCGGACCTCTTTTGTCATTTTATGCGGAATATGCATCGCATTGCTCTGTTGTTATCAATAAGATTGCACTGGGGACCGACCTTGAATGGCAGAATTTGTCCATCCCATTATGCCACTGAACTGAGATCGTGTCTTGCCAGTTCAGCATTGAGAGCATGATTCTCAGTCGTGCATCGCATCTTTGATGCAACAGGTATTGAACAGAGTAGCACCATTTCTAGTGTATCTGTAACATCACCACAAAATGAAATCGTATACCATGCATGGGGCCTTCATTGTCCACTTGTGTGAACAAGGGCAAGTTTTTGCTGTTGGGGTTGAGCATTGACCTTTCAATTTCCCAATCTTTCAATAATTGATTGCTTGGCTTCGTGTGACTGGCAGGATATTCTGCATGCACCACAGTCGATACAGCTGGGCATATTGGCAGCCCTGTCAGCCGCCAGCACAGCTGCCATGTCTACCTCTTCAGGATTCAGGCACCATCCTACGACAGTGAACCTGGCACTGAGAGCCTTCACTGGTGAGGCACACGACACATCCTGCAAGCTGTGCTCCTGTGATGTCGATGTTGTGCAGCCTGTGAGTGTACACTTTGCTTTTGTGCCGACGTACTGTTGTAACCCTGGGGTTCACAGGATAGAAAATTCTCTCATCCATTATCCTTGTGGCCAATCAGCAATCTGAAGGCTGTTGGGAGGGAAGCAGGAACTCAAAACATTGGAGGGGCACATTGTTTTGCGTTATAAATGGTGCCCAACATTGCCAAATCGGGTGCAATAGATGTGCTTTGCAACGTTTTGACAATTGTGTCCATCAAGGAACTCAAAGAGGTGGGAATGATTGAAGGATAGTGATCGTGTGCGTATGTGGACTCGCCCGACAGTGTCTCAAGTGTGCATCATACTTTGCTGAGTCAGCTGGTGGTGAGTGTTTGTGTGTCTTGATTGTCTGTTGGGTGAGGCACAGTGGGACTATTGATGGACGAAGTTGCCTATTCTGGGTGATGATGCTCTTCCATAGGCAATTGATTCCATGGGCCAGCCCGTGTTTGGTGCGAAATGAGGTAAAGCGCCTTACAGCGCTTGAGCACATTTAGGTCAGTGCCAACATTCGTGGCAGCTCTCAGTGTATGGACACCTGATTTGTGCTCCAAACCTCATAGTTAGTAAGCATTCCAATTTTATTAACCGACTTCTGAGAAAGTGCAACATTTTAAAGAGTCACTGCCAGTTGTGCAAGTGTTTCTTCTCCCTTTGTTCAGGCACCTCTTCTCAGGAGATCTCTGCATCAGCCCAGGGCCTCCTTTGCCGTTGGCTGCAAGGCACCGGCGTGGCAGTGGGCAGCCAAGAGCTGGCCATGTGGCTGGGACATCTCCCCAGGGTGGCCACATCTGGGCCAGAGAAGGACCAGCATAAGGCAATCACACATTTCGTCCAGGTTGTCATCCTCTCGGTCATGAATCAGCCGCTGGAGATGCAGGGCCTCAGGGCACAACTTATTCAGGCCAGTGGGCTGAAGGTGAGCATCCCACTACATTTTACTTCCCGAGGACTCGTTGCATGTTCCCTGACATTTGGATTTGTCTCAAGGTTTGGGTCTATGCATGCGTTTGAGACAGCGCATTGCAGGATACATGACATGGCTTTTTTGGTGCTTGGAGTGCTTTGCCAACGAATGTGATAGAAGAGAACACTTGTCATTTTTACCTTCATTGTGTCTGCTTTATCCTTCATTTGATTTGTGAGTGGCATACTTAGGCTTGGGGGGCAAGTACGGACAAAGTAATGAAGTGGTGCTGGCTTCGTTCTATGTTTTCGGGAGGATTGCTTGGAACACTACATTGCAGCTACCTGCACTTCAACATGTCACAATGGATGTGATGGTGGCTCTATACTGTGTCTTTCATCCGAGGATTTGTGAAGCCCATCTGCCCTCATACAACATGGACAGTGCTGCTGTAGTGGATGAACTGTTGCTTATAGGGATGGCCATGATGATTTCTTTCCGGCATGTTTTTATACATACATCTGTGTGGGCACTGGTGACTGCGATTTTCTCACCCAACTTGACCACTTACTATCATTCCCCACACCAAAATGTTGAATACCTTCACCTGACAGTTGAAATCTTCCACATCATCAGCATACAGGGTGCCGTAGGCACTGGGGGCTACAGGACTTGGTGGACAATGCAAGCAATTCATGAGAGGACATGCAATGTACAGAATTCTATTGATGCTAGCAATAACCATTTTTGAAACAAAGAGAACCATTATCAGACAATGGACAGCCCTGAATATTTATTTGATTCTGCTCTTCCACGCCAAGCAAGCAGTACAGGTTCAGAATGGGGCCACAGTTACATTGCAAAGTTCATGTGTGGAATTATACCCATCATCACCTGCGATGGGTAAAGGCTGTGTTTCATCATATCTCGATAAATCCTCTCCGTAGAATGCACAAACAGATGATGCAGAGGCATGAAGCTTGCAGTAGGATTTGTGGCCTGCTGACACCAGTGCCTGTTACTGATTAGGGTGGTGCTGAAAATTGCCCCAGCCTAATGGCGCTCTGCGCACTCGACACGGCCATCATTCACGCAGAGGCCAACGACACACATCCAGCGCAAAAGGCTTGGGTCACGAGCTACACTGCCATGGTGCTAAAGAGTCTTTTCCACAGTGTGAGTCATCCTGTGGCCTACGCACTGCTTCTCAGGGAGGTATTGCTTCAGCATGCCACCCGCTCCTATCCCCTCCTGCCTGATCCCCTGTCTGGGCAGGAAGGGAAGGACCGACAAACGACACTGATGTGGCTGCTGCCACCTGAGGGGCACCCGCTCAAATCCATGTGGAAGTCGATGCAAGACTGGTTCCTATCGATGGAGGAGGCGAACCCAGCACTACTGCAGCATCTCATTCTGGATTCCGCAGTGCCAGAAACTCCAGAAGACCCGTACACCAGGGTTGTGAGCCCAGCGTACACCGATCTGTGCAGGCGTCTGAAGGCTAAGCTGCTGAAGGATTGTGTGATTTGGTGCGCCGAACTGCCGCATGCGCATGTCCAGGCGCTGCGAATGTGGATTCCACACATGGAGGGCGGGGAGCCCAGCTCATGCTATTGGAGGCCAAACCTGCCCCACAACCTCATGTTCTATGCGCCCAAGGAAAAATGCAAGGAGACCCTGTGGAAAACTGGTCCTAACCCTCTGCTGGATCCGATTGTGCTGTTCACGGTCCTGATGTGCATGCCCGCTGAAGATGCAATGGAATTTTTGAAGGCAATCGTTGACAAATACCCCAGGCGCAGGCTGGGTGCATCGTTCTGGAGGGCATGTGTGAAGGTCATTCGGGGGCATTGCTTTCCTAAGGATGACAACATGCCAGCATTGACAGATGCGTTGAGGGCTGTGCAGTCGAGGGGCAGGGCATTTTCGAATGTTTTGTCTTTTTCAACGATGGTTCAGTTGTCCTTTCAGTGCCCAGGGCTCCTTGACGTCAAAGCCACATGGGTGGACATGACACACCTGGTGCAGCTGATCCCTGAGCAGTGGCTTGCGGCCGCAGTCCAGCTGCTCTGCAGTGGGCTTATAAAGTGAGGAGCCAAGAAGATGAGGCTAGAGATGCCTGATTCTGTGGAGCTTGTCCCACTGTGCAGCCTTTCAGTGTTGGCACATTTGGAGACGATGCTGCCATGCTGGAGCGCTACTGTCATGTCGTCTTGTTTTCCCCTTGCACAGCAGTTTCTGCTCTTCGTGTTCCTGTTTGCTGCGTGTCAAGCCCTCTTCTTGTGACAATGGGCCGTCCTCTCTGTTTATGTTCACCCATCCTGGCATATGCATTGGCCCTTGTTGCTTGAGGTGAAATCCATATGCCCTGCCCTGCTTGAACTCCGGTTTAGTTTAATTGGAGAACTTCCTTTGCTATAATGAGTATGGATACCTTGATGTGTGGTTTCATTTGCCATGGGGCAAGTTGTGCGATGTTTCATTTTGCCTTCGATGGAAGCTGTGGATCCAAAAAAAGCCCCTGCTATCCTTCATTTGGCATTATGCTATGTGTGCTCTATAACTAGCACAAGAAAGGCCTCCACAAATGCCACGTTACGTTTGATTTGCCTTTCAGTTATGCAGCACATGCAGGAATCACCATTTTGAAGTTTCATTTGACTCCCACTTCAAACATGCAGCATGTTGTTGACATCTGCTTTGCACACTGCCAGGTGTGGCACGACTCGTGCAGTGCGTTGCATGTTTGCCCTCATCGGCGAATGTGTCCTACCAAAAGATGGATTTCAGCATCATGCAGCGGTTGCTGTGCTGGGGCAACCCTGCACTTGGGGCTTGTACTTACTCGACAATGGTGCTGTCGACAAGGTCTTTCGCACCAAACTGATGGATCTTCTGAAGCAAATAACAGAAAGGACTTCTGAGGCTTGTGAGGAAGGCATGGACTCAGACTGCAGGTCCACAGTAGTAAAATACCAAAAAGGTGCGGTGGCTGCACTACAAACGGCATGCCCTGATGGGGCCTGGACGGATCGGACAATGCGATGGGTGCAGCACGTTGCACAAATTGGGGGCTATCTGGATCCTGCACTGAAGGATGACGTGGCGAACTCAGTGCTGGATCTTCATGAATGTCTGGCAGCTGCTGGACAACAGCCTGACTCCAAGAATGACCCCATGCCCCACATTCTGGAGCTGCTGGATTCTGTGGCGATTGAGCTATGTGCCAGGGCCGAAAGCTCAAAAACAGTCAAGCGGATCTTAGAGTTTTCGTGGATGCTTGGGGAGGAATCAAAAGCAGGGCGGTGCCTGGCAGGCAGGCTTTTGGAGACAGCACTGCATGCGCATGTGCCTCTGTGGCAGGCCTCGAATCGATCTTCACCACATGAAATGCTGCAATGGTGTCTTAAGCCGCCAACCACGAAGTGTACTCAAATGATCGCCCCGTTGCTGAGGACCCACCCACTGTGCCGGACTTTATTTGCAAGCAATATAGCAAAATACAAACTGAACAAAGAGCAGCTCGCTCTTATGCTCCCTGCCGCTTTGAGTTACCTTCAAATGCAGGCCAGCTCTAGGCACGCCGAATGCAGGGCTGGAGTCGCAGCATCCTCAGACCCTGTTGTCGCAGCATATCTTGAGCCAATGATGGCTTATGCAGCTCGCACCTGGCACATGCCTGTAGATGATACTGCCAATGTCTCCAGCTCAGGAACATCTTCCAGGGCGATCGGATCTTCATTGGAGAATCTGCCAGGGCAAGCACCGCAATCTGGGAAGGTCGACGATGCCACGGAGAAGCCGCTGAGCAACACAGCCCTGAAGTGCTTGCATCAATATGCCATTCCTGTTCTTATGCACTGCCTAGCAGCACGCCCGTGGCTGGCATCCCAGCAAAAGAAAGTGATGAAAAAGATCTTGTGGCCTTCGGGATGGCCCCTGGATGATTCAGAGACTGAGCCTTTTGCCACTCGAGCAGAGCAGGCAGCACTGGCAGCATTCCTTTTGATGCAGAGATCAACAACTTTTGGTCATGCAGAATCTGGATACAAGGCCTTCTTGGAGGACCTTGCAACATTTTTCTGCAGCTGTACAGCCACCTTGGCAGCCATGAGACACCAAAAGCTGCAGTTGTTGGAAGAGAAAGCTGCTTTTGAGCAGCAGTTGTGGGCACATATAAATGGCTTCGTGAGAGAGAGGATCGCAGAGTTGCCTGATTCCCAAAGAGTAACAGAGACTTTCAACAAGGTAGGGCAGGCTATGCCATGTGGGACAGCATTGTTTGGTCCCTTGTCAAAACAGTAGCGTTTGGGTGCCCTGTTGTGGGTATTTATTTGTTATGTGTTCATTCATTATATATGTGTTTATTCATGAGATGTTCTCTTGCTGACTCTGAATACAATTTCAATCAAGCATACTTCGTGAAGATGTGTTGTTTGGTTTCATGATGCAGCTGGCAATACAGGTAGTCCTCTGGATAAGCAGCAGACTTTTAGAACACAGTTGTCGAAAATATGACAAGTACACAATAACGAGAGCTGTCCGTTGGACATAGAACACTGTGCTGTGGGCACATTCTATGCATTGTGTGGGAAATGGGATCCTTGCAATGATCGACTTTTTGGCATCACAGGTAATTCATGGAATGCAGAGTTTGGCAGAGACATTAGTTAAATACGAGTTGGATGATGCACTCATAATGGGTTCCTTACGACGGTTTTTTGAGGCTGCTTTGCCCCAGTCGCATCGTTGTGGAGAAAGGCAAAGCAAGGGATCGAATGAGGCCATCGACTCTCATCCATCATCTGATGACGACCAGCACATGCCTGATGCTGATGTAGAAGGTGCAGATGGGGACTGCGTGGCGGGGACTGTACAGACTGGGCCCAAGGAACAGGTGGAAATCAACAATCCCTTTGCTGCAGCCGTGGCAGCAGAGGTTTTGGATGCCCTATGGGCAAACCCGAAACTCATGGAGCACATGAAGGCCTATGCTCCAATGCCCTTGGCAGTAACAGCCTCACATCCGATTTCATCTCTTTCAGCTGTTGTCATGGATGCAAGTAGAAGAACAGAGGAACAAGATTGGGCCATGAACACATCAAATGACATCGGGACTGAGTTGGGGCGACTGATGGCCAATCTGCTAGCTGTCCAGACAAGGTTTGGAATTGGGCTGGGAACCGAAGAACCCAACGTTGCAACACACAAACAACGCCTTGTTTCGCTACTGTCTGTGTACCAAGCAACATTGAGCCCCAAAGACGTGGCCATACGACAGTCCATGCTCATCTTGGAGGAATGGATCACCAGGCAATCTCCTTTGGCTGCATCTGAATCTCAGGGCATTGGCAAAACGCAGCAATTGAGACATGAGCCACTTTTGCATCGGCGATTTTTGTGGGGTGGAATGGCCGAAGCTGTGCACAAAGAGTGCAATAGGTTGGACGAGAAGCTCAGTCATGACCCTCCGATGAGCCAGACAGCCAACATTGGTGCAACTGCACCGGATGCCAACAGTCATCTGGGAATTTCCACGGTTTCTACAGGTGGCTGGAGAAGCCTGATTCTCAACAGGGCTCCTGTGGATCCTGTGAGGTGTGCTTGGACTTGTGTGCACTATCCAGAGGAAGCAGATGTGCCATCCGATGGCAATGTCTCGGCAGGGCATGACCTCGCCACGTTTGCCTGCTACGACCCTGCCCATCTACTGCCCTTCTGTGTGCATATCATGGAGGACAGGCTACTTGCACCCAGCTTGTTCTGCAAGTGGGGCCTCCTGGCACTTTGTTTCAGGTCCCTGTCTGCTGCCAATGGGCATATCAGGTGTGTTTTGAATGCAGGAAGGGACAAATGCATAATAATGGGGTTGGTGCATTTGTCAGAATCTGCTGTGTCATTTCCCAACTAGATAGTGCCAGATGAGGCATGCCCTGGTTCCTTCATCCCCAGTGCCTGATGGCGATGTTCACCTTTTTGTCCTTTACAAACGCACTGAAGAAAGCGGTGTCTCGCAGAGGCTCCCGATGCGCACCAATTTGCACTCCACATTTGATGAATTTTGCTGTGTTTTCGTGTCTATGCTGATCGATGTGGGCCACGCCAGCCGCACTCAACTAACAGACCATGCACCCCATCGCCCGCAGGGAGCTGGCATATGGCAGCCTCGAGCTGTTCTTCTCCAACCTCCAGTCCCAGGGTCGCTTCCAGGCCAAGGACCACATCTTGGCCCTCATGAAGTTCTTCCGGAGGGGCATAGTCCAGACCAACCAGCGCCTGCCCTCCATATCGACAATGTTCCTTGCAGAGGCCTCCCTTCAGCTCCTCAACCCAGATGGCCCGCTGACGTCGATGCTCGTGGAGCTGCTGCGGCGTTCTGCCCTGGACACCACGTGCGTACCCCTGTTCAATAGGATACTCACGAGTGGGGTGCAGGAGTGTGGGCAGGAGCAACAGTGGTTGCTGCAGATGCTCTGGGCTGGACTCAAGGTGAACATCGCTTGCGTTGGCGCTTGGATGGATTTGGGGACATTGGTAACCACAGTTCACTGAGCAAACCATGCGATAGGGTCAGCAACACTGGTCTGGAATACATGCCCAACATCGCCTCTAGGATGCTCTAGGGCTCTGCTGCCTCTAGGGCAGTGTTCTGTCATGTTTAAGTGACAAAATGTAATCAAAGAATTTGAGCAACCACAGTTGGAAAGACACCTTGATGTGTGCATGGGGCGCCCTTTGATATTGAGAACAGTGTTGATTTCCTTTTATTCAGCATGAAGCAACCCTGACCCTTTGACCCTGTGTCGAATTCTTAGGTTCATTGTGGCATCGGACGGAGTGGTAGAGCATAGCAGAACATGAGAAACCAATTTTCGCTATCCAGTGCTGGAACTGCTAGGTGTATGTGGTATCTTTTTTTCCAAACCACAGTTCCCAGTTTTGCTTGGAAATACTTGTGCTGTTCATTGCTCAATCAAGCCAGTGTGTGACTTTGTCAGGAAAATGGGGTTTCTGACGTCTACAGGCGCCGTTGCACAATCGAGATGGTCATGACCCTCTGCCACTCAAAACTGGCGCAGCCCACAACGCGTGGGCTTGCCTTGAGAGTTGTGCATCGCGTTACTGCTGTTCCAAAGCTGGCAACCTTCCTTGCTGAGCATTCAGGTGTGCGATTGAGCGCATTCCGTGGCATACCACAGAATCCTGTCTGAAATTGACTTGCTTATACTGCGTCTTTGGTCAGGCAAACGCCTGGACACAAAACAGAGCTGATTGGACTGCTGGGATGTTTGTTAAAGTACTGTATTTGATGGTATTTATGCATGTGTCGCAGTCTTTTTCGGTATTAGTATTGTCAGATGTTATCGGTTGTCTATTTGTCCAACAGAGTTTCTCATGTTTTCTCCCGTAATGTTCTTTGTTGTGTTTGCACACATTTGCACCTGAATGGTAATTTTACTCCCCTTCCTGACTGATAACACAAGGGCGTTAAAGTGCTTTCAGGGTAAAACACTGCGATGTCCTTGCACTCCTTGCGATGGCTAATGCCATCTCATAATCTGCGTGCACTGTACCCATGCCCCAACCAGTGTGCAGCACTGCCTACCAGGGCATAATCATAAATTCCTTTCCTGTTACCACATGCTCTTTCTGACTGTACCTTCCTAGCAATGTCATGCTGCGCATATTACCAAGAACAGTATTGTTGCCACTATATCCAGCAAACGCCACCATGTCAGTTTTCAGTTTTCAATTTCAGTTCGTTCCGATGCCATTTTCGTGATCAAATTTTCTTGATTGAAATCTATTTATTCACCTGCAGGCCTTGTGACATGGCTTGGTGATGTGGTGGGCGAGACTGCCTGCCCACCGCACGGCTCTAACCCCAATCGTCCAGCACTGGTGCCAAAGGCAAAAGACGGCCACCAGGCACCCTTCCCATGGGCTGACCAACCTCCAGCCATGGCCAGCATCAGCGCATTAACGCAACTCCTCACCGATCGCGTGGGTCTCAGGGGCCCAAGGGCAGTGCATATCCTGGACGAGTACATACACGCTTGCTGGAGGATGTGCTCTTGGCTGGTGTCCCGGTGTAAAGCATGCTGGGAGGGCCCAGCCGGGGTGGGCCAGGGTGAGACAGAGTGCCGGGAAACTGCAGAGGGATGCTCAAATAGACTTGCAAGTGCAGAAATGCCGTTGTCCAGCTTTGGTAGGCTGAAAGCATTGTTTCGAAAGCCGAAAAAAGTAATCGAGCAAGGCTCCCCAGGGACGATCCCTGGCGGCTTGGGGGACGTGGGAAGCGTGAAGCATGGGGAAGAGAGTCTGGACACCTTGTCAGACGCCATTCAGCTGGGTTGGGGGGAAGGGCCTGAAGAACATATGTGGATGGCCATCCTTCGGTTCCTGGATCTCCTGTTGGATGCCTGCCACGAACGTGGGCTCATGACGTTTACCCACGTGATGCAGTATTCCGATATGTGGACGGTCGTGCGATATTTTGAGCATCCAGAGTGCCCGCTGGCCAAGGACTCCCTGGCGCTGCTGCTTGAAGTCGTGCTGAAGCTGATTCCAGGAAGCGGTGCAAGTGAGTGGATGCCTGTGGCTCAAGCTTTGGTGGCAATGCGCTGCACATGCATTGCTCATGTATTGCTACTTCATTCTGGTGGCGAAACACCGCCGATGCAAATGCCTTGTCCAGTGTCCATACTGATAGCAGTGGATTCTTGTGGATATCAATATTTTTCTGCTGGAGTTCTGAAGCACCACTGGTCACCTGTAGTCTTCATTCTTTTCTTGTGGATTTTGTGTTTGCCTTGAATCCAAAAACTCCCTGGAAAGAATGTGCGCATGGAATTGTGCCAGCAATCGTACCTTTATTGTAAGATCTTTGCCTTATCGTGTTTCAAGGCTGGGTGAGAACGGTCTGCTCCCGTTCCTGGGCAGGAAAGTTCGAAAGAAATGGGGCTGTTTCACCGTCCGGTATCCCATGTCCCTCACTGCGCCGCATTTGATCCCCTTCCTGGAATCTTGGTGCCATGTTTGATTAAATAATACTTCCTCCGTCCCAGATTAATTGTCGTCTATTTAAAAGGCCAAATTTGTTATAAGAACAGCCTCAAAAATTGAAAACAGGGTCAAAATCGAAAAGATTGTATCTCAAAACCCTTGACTGTCAATTTTCAAGAAGGAAAAGTGAGACATGACCCTTTTGAGCGCAAGGGGAAGGTAAATTTTGGTCGTTTTCGACCCCAAATATTGAGACTTACTATGTAAAAAGACCCTTGATACAAAGTACTTCCAAATACTCAATACTCAATAGATTGAC